CCCCCCCTGGAGAAAAATCCACCAGCCGCCACTGGTCGACAAATGTGGCAGATGTTGGCTGCAACCTCTGAATTCAGACACAGCCTGTATCAGACCATATAAGGTGGAGCTACAGTATTTAATGAAAAAAATCCACCTTTTTAGTTGTTAAATATATTTTGTAATGTACTTGGAGTCTCCAGGAGTGAAAAATGTTTGAATTTAGTCTCTTCAGGTGCTGCAAAGATATCTTTATATTCTATATTCTCATATTTTTCAACTTATTCAGTTTTCTCTATTTTCTTTGACATTTTCTGAACTATGTCAAATTATTTAAGACAGAATTTCCATGTAAGGTCTGGATTTACCAACTACAATTTCCTCATCTTTATTCTCCTCTGGTTCTGGGTCAGACTCTGACTTCAACATGTAAGGCTAGATGGATGGACAAGTCTTCTGTTGCTGACATCTTTTTAATCAATTTGAAAATAAAAAGTTTCATCTGTAACCCTCTCTCTCAAATTAGAAGGAACTAGTGATGTTGGATCAACACTGAGCAAACACTAACCCAACACAGCAAAAGTTTTTTTTTGCCTTAAAACTCTAACTCAAATATTTAGCTCTCTTAATTCTAAAGCACTAAAATAACCCAATAAACCCATGAACATTCTTCAACAGATAACATGACATACTGCCATGCTGCTCTCTTAAGTCTTATCATTGACATCCCACAGCTGTATTTGAGTTCATACATTGTCAATATATTGTCACCTAGTGCAGTGGTTCCCAACCGTTTTAGACTTGTGTACCCCCTGTGCCATTTTGTCATACCACTTGTACAACTTCAGTCAAATGTAATGATGATTCTCCAAAACTATAACGTACTAAAACTGATTATTAAATGAGAATTATTTATTTAACCCCCTAGAATGTGTAATTAATTATAGGAATTTCATTTTTTCCAACTCAAATTAAACAAAGATGAAATGTTGCTTTTGAGGTTAATAAGTAATTAAATAAATAAAGCAGATAATGGCAGGTGAAGCAGCGTCCAAAATACATCAAACACCCCAAATGAGCAAATTCTGAGAGTCCACATTTTATACTGGCTTCCATTTTGTGTTAATTCCATGATTCCATGTGCAATTTCTGCATTGCCGAAATCATAAGGCCCTACATATCTCAGTCCTATCTTTACTTTGTTTTTTTTTTTACAGATCTGGGAGGTTTTTCCATGTACCCCCGGTAATATGCTTGCATACCCCAGGAGGTACATGTACCCCTGGTTGGGAACCACTGGTTTAGAAAGTGTCAAGGAATGGAGGAACTGTCCAAGGTCCTGAAAGTGCTGAAATGTTTCAGAACCTTGAACAGTGTGAAGGATTGAAGGAACTGTCCAAGGTCCTGAAAGTGCTGAAATGTTTCAGGACTTTAGACCAGTGGTTCCCAACCTTTTTAGACCTGAGCCATTTTGTCATACCACTAGTACCCCTTCAGTCAAATGTAATGATGATTCTCCAAAACTATAAACATACTAACAACTGATTATTAAATTAAAATTAATAATTTAACCCCCTAGAATGTTATTATTATCCCAGCTACAATGACAGACAACAAATGATACTATAAATGTATTATTTGTTGTCTGTCATTGTAGCTGGGATAATTATTCAAAGAAGCTTTTGGGGTCAGAGAGTCCTTCAGTAGCTTAGCTTTATTTAAGCTTTAGTCCTAGCATCTTTAGCACTGTCCTTAAAAGTCAGTCTTCTCTGGAGAGAGCTAACAGGTGCTAAACTCCAACCTGAAAGAGTTGACATTCATTTTTCTATTTCACATTAAACTAATTCTGACCTGAAACAAATTATCTATGAAAGGAAATAACCAAAACATAAAATTATTGGCAGTGTAAAGATTATAAAATAATTTACGCTGTGAATCTCAAGATTAGAGGTGTTTTAACGCAGCAGCAATGCACTTTGATCTTCGGCTAGCTGTTAGCTCCTCAGTGTAAACACTAAAGCTGTAAATTGTTCATGACTTTTCCAAAAAAATCTCAATTTAAAAATCTGAACCATCCTCTTAAGACAATCGTTTTCAAAGATGGAAAGAGTCTCGAGGTGATCTCTAGAGATCAGATTTAAACTGATTGCTAATAGAAAAAGTTTCTCTCTAAATTGTTCCAAGAGCTACAAACACTAATTGTAAATGAGTAAAATGGATGTTTTGCTCATTTTATTAGATCAGGGGTTCTCCAACTTGGGCTGGGGACCCCTCACAAGGGTGAAACATTTCCAGGGACCCCCTCATAAACCCCATGCTGTTTAAAAAATAATTTACTGTCATTTTAATGCCTAAATGTCATGGGGATATTATTATTTTTTTGTTTGTATGTTTGTTTTATGAGTGCGTTGTTCCCCATATGCAGTTTTAAAAACGAAAACTAAATTAACAATTTATTACAATTTTTTGAGGACCCCTCTAAGACAGGGCTTGCGGACGCCTAAGGGTCCTGCGACCCCAGTTTGAGAACCTCTGGATTAGATCATTAGTAATATTTGTATCCTTCAACCAGCAGCATGTGAGGTTTATATGTGGGTCAGAATCTGAGAAGTTCAGGAACTTCTGATTAAAAGATGCTCAACATTGTGCTTCTTCTGCCATGACCCAGAATATTTTTACTGTTGTTTCACCAGATAAAGTAAATGTTTTCATCATTGAGTCTAAAATAAATTAATTAAAGAGGAGAAAATTTCTCATTATTACTAATGAACAAAAGGATTAATATCTTGATACTGACTCATTGGTACACATAGTGAAAGCCACAGAAAGTTCAGAAACAAAAAAAACCATTGAACAGGAACGTTATCCAGATATGCATCTGCTTTTCCAAGCAGTGTGAATAATCAGAGACACGTTTGTATCAGAGTTGATGAAATTACATAATAATGATAATAATAATAAAAAAGCTCTACATCCTGGAGGCCTAGAAGACGGCGAGAGGAGAGGGGTTTTAAAACTCGATCTTGCAGGCTGGAAAAGATTCGTCCTGCATGACGACAGTGCTGCTGGAGGCCAGAACCATGATGTTGAGCTCCTGCTGCTTCTCATGCGTCTGCTGATACCAGTCACGAGTCACCTCGGTGTCGTGGGTCGGGATCAGTGTAACCTGAGATGGAGACAATAAAAAGAGAAAAGGTGATGAGAATGCAAACACGTCACACAAACTGTGCAGGTAAATGTAAAACTACCTCCATCTTCAGGAAAAAGAAGAAGCTGTGCGGCCTTTTCATTTCTCTATTTTCACATTATAAACTTCACTGTTTATTGCAGTCTTTCTGTTATTTAAACAAATATATGTGTGAAATCTGATCATGTTCTGCTTTGGTTCAAGTTTTATATGCAACTAGGTTTTTTTAAAACTCGTTTTATTTTTTATTTTATTTTATTTTTTTGTTTTTACACGTGATAAAGGAACGGCTGTTGCAGGGCTGCAGGATGCTAGAAAGCAGCAATTTGTGATAAAGGACGAGAAGATAAAGGAGAAAAACAAGAAACTGACAAGATACATGAAAGTTAAACAGGATCTCACAAAAAAAAAAAAACAGAAAAATACTGGATAACCAAAACTAAACTAAAAGACAATAAAACCTAAAACCAAATAAAGTTAAAAACCATCCATCTATCTTTGATCAACTGGTCTTACAGGCAAACAGGTCCAGGTGAGAAACCCAGACCTGCCTCATCCCAAGGCCTTCCCAGGCCTGAGAGGATATATAACCCCTTCTGTGATTTCTATATAAATACATACACACAGTATATTTACATCTGAAACAGGTAGACTAATGCATCCAAGATTTTTACCTTCGCCAAGGGCGAGGTAATGTTTTCGGTCAGGTATGTCTGTCTGTCGTTCTGTCTGTGGACAACATTACTCAAAAACCTGTGGACGGATTGTCATGACATTTTTACCACATGTGGGTACTGGGCCAAGGAACACACCGTTAAATTTTGGTGATGTTCCGGATCACGATGCGGAAACAGCAATTTTTTTTCTTTTAACACTCTGAGATCGGCAAAGCTGTGATGCTTTCACAGGGCTTCTGAAAAAACAATGAGCTTGATTGGACAGCATGGACTTCAAAATTTATAAAAGTAATGTTAAAACCAGATTTAATGATGAATAATTTTTGCCATAATATGCACATTTACAGAACATTTTGTGACCAGGAAGTGCGTGACTGCACCATGAAACCTATTTTTCCCATTTCATCAAACACACCACATTTCTGAAACAACCAATCAAAACAGTTTGTCTCTACTAGGCTTGTAAACAGAGAGCTGCCGGGCCTCAAAGTTTGGAGACGGGGGGAGCCAGGAAGCACTTTATAAAGAGAGTCAAACCATTACAAACTCACACAAGGAGATAAAACAGATGTTTTACATGGTGAAATGTGACTGATGAAAACTTGGGAGCTTAATCCCACACCAGTTTGACCATGAATAACGTCAGGTGACGAGTCTGACTTTTTTTCACGTTGGACTCCACCGAGAAGAAATTCCGTGCATACTGCTGCTTAAATGTTCACTACGTCACAACTAATTCAGCAAATGTGTTTCCATCTCTGCTTTTGCGCATTAACTCTTACAGGATGGAGGAAATTGGTCTTGGCGGAGGTTTGCACTCTCCGAGTGCTTCTAGTTTTATATTAACATTTAAACATATTGTTTTAGTCGTTTTGTCCTTCAGGAAAATATTTTTTGTGAGATCACCTCTTAATAATTGTCAGTTTTGAAAATCTAACTGCTCATTTTTACCCAATACTTTTACTTTTAATACTGAAGTACAATTTTATGTGAGAAACTTACTTTTGATGCTTAAGTACAAAAAATATCAGATACTTTAAAACTTTTACTCAAGTAATATTCTTAGAGGAGACTTTAACTTTTACCAAAGTAATTTTCTGATAAGATACTTGTACCTTTACTCAAGTACAACTTTGAGATGCTTTATACAACACAGAAAAATAGGAATGAAATTTAAGGTGTAAATTGCTTTTATACCTGTAGGTTGGATCCCCACTGAGCTTTAGCGTCCAATAAAGCATCGAGGACTGCTCGGCTTGGCTCCCCGCCTGCAGCGTCATTTCCACTCACTACGTAGTAGGCAGAGCGAATGCGCTTGAAGAACTCTTGGTCCACATTCTTGGCACTGCAGTGGTTGGGAATGTAGGCCAGATCCACATAAATGGGAAGGCCAAGAGCTGCTGGAGAGCCAGATTTTTGAGAACCTGGAAAAAACAAATCATTGCTTTGGTGCAAAAAGACAGTATTTCTATTTCTGTGCGTCTTGTTTTGTTAAGAACACTAACACTGAGGTACATTACAAAAGATCTTTATTTTTAACTTTTGTTTTTGCTTGCTAAAAACAGAAAATCTTTACTTTAACTTCTTAAGCCCCAAGGGGTTTTCCTGAAGTTTGTGCTCAAAATACCATGCTGAAATGTAATTAAGTGTATCTCAGAACTTACAAACTCTACTTAAATAATCTTGGTCTCAAAATAAAGCTAAAACTTTGGAGATTTCATCAGAAGTGTAAGTATTAAAACAGCTGCTGTGGCTTTAGAGATATTGAGGAGGGAACACATATATTTTTACTCTCACCTGAATAATTGTTTCATTAGACAGTATATAAGCTATTTAAAACCATAATGAATCAGGCTAAAAACTCTTGGAAACCATAAACCTACTTGTGGACATCACCTGTGCGAAGATCCATGCTGTTAAAATTAACTGGAGCAAAGTTACAGAGGTTTAAGTAAAAAAATAATTTTGTGTTTTGTCATTCTGCACAGGACAGACCATGATGGTACCATTAATTAATGTTAAGAAATCAGAAGTTTTTACTTCCAGAAGTTATTTATTTTTTGTTACCTGACTGAAAAGACTTATTAAATGTTTGTTCTTTTGAAAGATTATCCAAACATTTATTTGTCACCATATATACTGTATATTATATAAAATTATGAGAAATGTTATTTGACTTCATTTGGATCGTTCACTCAAAATCAAGTGAAAACAACTTTCAACACACTTTACAACCTATTTTGGCATCTACTTTGACTTGCTTTAAAAACATAATTTACAGATTTGCAATGATGCCATTTTGTACAGTTTGCTTACTTTCTGATTCAACTGCCTGTCATTTGAACTGCTTTCTAGCTTTAGCTTTCTACCAAACATGTCCAGGTTCAACTGACCCATCTAAAGTTAAAAGAAGTTAAAAAAAATAGAAAACGGAAAAAAGCTGTTTGCATGGGGCTTGAGGTTAAATTAACTCACCTGAGCTACTCTTGACACCATTTGTTAGCCCTTTGCCTGGGTTGTAGCTCGATCTGGAGAGGTCATCATCTTTGGAGCCTTGACCATCTGACAGACGAGACATGCGTGAGCTCTTGTCTGCCTCTTTTTTCTTCAGCGAGGCACTACGTGGAGACGGGGTTTGTTTGACTGGCATGGGAGACCTCTTGCGTCTAGCTGGAGATGCTGATTTGGTTTTCCCTGAAGACTTCTTCAAGCTCTTTGCTTTGGGTTCTTTCTTAAAAGAGCTATTATCCAGGGATTCTGGGTCCACCATGCAAACATCTGGGCGAGGAGAGTGAGGGAAAGGGTCCATTATGGGGGCAGGAGGGGGGTCTTGGCTCCTCCTAGAGGCGGAGTGATGGCTACCTCCTCCTGTGGTCGATTTATCAACAGGCATGTAATCTCCATCCTCATCTGACTCCATGTTGCCTTCACCAGTGACTGACGGGTACTCTTCGGTGCCTGGAGGGGCATCAGAGTCTGACTGGGAGGCTAGAGACTCACTGATGGAGGTGGGCGGGGTGTCCTCTGTGGCCAGACCAAACCCTGCTGACAGCCCCCCGACTTGGTGCAGAGAGCTGCTGTCCCTGCTGTGGGACTGTTGAGGATGGGGCTGTTTGTGAGCTCTCCTTTTCACTGACAGGTCATGCTCATCCCCTTCCTGTGAATCATCACTCCTACAACCTTCTTCCTCCTCATCCTCATCTGTGGAGAACTGCCGCGTGCAGGGGTTGATGAAGGAGGGCGACAGGTCTTCTTTGCGCTGCCTATGCTCGGAGGATGAGTATCCAGGAGAAGTGCGGCTAGTGTAAGAGGAGGTTGCTCCTACGGGAACATCCTGATTGCTGTCATCATCGTCATCTTCATCTTGGTCACCTTGGCTGCACTCTTCTGCGTAGAAGTGCGAGTGAAATGGCTGATCGGTTGAAGCGAGTGAAAGTGGACGAGCGGGGTGCTCCGGCTCCGTCTCACATTCCTCCTCAAATTCCTCCTCATGGCGATAATGGGGAGGGGACTCTCCGGGCACCATGCTCATCTGAGACTTTGAAATTTCCCACTCATAAGAACTCCTGACATAACTTCCTTCTCTGGAATCGACTTTGGCTGAGCCTGAAGCCACTCTTCCAACAGGGAGGTTGGTGCCTCCGCTGACCTCTGTGGAACCATTGGTTTTGTCTGGCTTACTGGTTTGAAGAGGTGTTAACATGTAGGAGCCAAGAATATCTGGAAGTGTATCGCCCATCTTTTCACTGGCTGCTGGAGTGACGGGCTTGTCGGAAAATGGATAGCTTCCAGCCAGGCCACTGGAAGGAGACTTGCGAGTGATTTCACGCATGTACGCCTCCTCGTCCTCCTCCTCGCTACTGTCAGTCTCCTCAAAGTAGTGCTTGCCTTCAATATCAGGGCGAGGAGAGGAAGTGACGCCAAACAGAGCGGCACTGGCTGCCTCTTTGTCCATCGAGAAGTCTGAGAAGGGACCTGGTGAGGTTCCAAATCCAGCAGCTGCGTCCAGCTTAGTTTCTTCAGACCACTCAGGCTTATAAAAACAGTCAGATTGAGGGCCTTTATCAAGAGCTGCACCTAAGAGAGCTGAATGTTTGTTCTTGTCTTCAGGAACAACTGTGGATGAGAGTGAAGGGGATGTTTTAACCTCATCAAAATGACCGAGGGGTGAGAAACGAGCCAAACTGAAACTAGGCTCTGCTGTGCTTGTTGCTGTCACTTGTTTCTCTGAAACTTCCAGATAGCTTTCTTTGGTTCCAGTTGAGCTGGAGAGAGGAGAATCCATGACAAACGGCTGTTCTTCTTTGAAGGAGGAGTACTCAAAGAGAGGCTCGGCAGACGCAGGCGTCTCTAACTCCTCTCCAAACTGTCGGCTGGTAGAAAGGGAGCCTGAGGTGGAAGAAGAGTAGCTGTAGGCTGAAGAGGAGGAGTACCCAGGGCCAGCTGTGGTTGTGTACTGAAAATTAGTTTCCAGAGAGCTCTTTCGCAGAACATCAGATGTCTTCTGTTTGTCCAATTCAGGATTGGCTCTGTCGCTTTGGTAACAACTGTCATCTCTTGACTGCAAAGGAAAGTCCTGTTTTTCTGTCTCTCTAGTCTGATTCAATAAGAACGACTCTTTCTCATCTCTTCCATACGAGTATTCAAATTCTGAAGAATAAGCAGAGAAATCCACTGGCTTTTCACTGACAAACGAAGAATCAGTCTTAGCTTTGTCTTCAGTCTTTGTGAGTGAACTTGAGCTGCTGCTAATATAAGCTTTGCCTTGACTGTTAAAACCATATCCAGCCATAGAAACCATGAACTCGGGTCTATTTGAGCCAAACGTTTGACTTATTGGAGTTTTTACTTCTTTCTCAGACTTCTCTTTGGTACCTTTCTCCATATCAGAATCAACGCTGCCTTCATCCTCCTCCTCATCGTCATCAATCACTTCATCATCATCATAATCCTCCTCGTCTCTTGCCGTTAGCTTTCGCATATCAACCTCCAAACATGCTCCTGTCTCGCCGTAGCCAAGAGTGTCAGGTGTCACTGAGGAGAACGTCAGGGACTTTGTGCTGTCACTTTGTCCTTTCAAAATGGAGTCTTTCTCTGATGACAAAGAAGTGGTCAAAGCTTCAGGTCTGTCAGCCACAGAGGGGAAACGGCTAGCTTGACAGTATTCAAATGCTTCTTCCTTTTTGGCCTCTTTTTCAAATTGATCAGTGGCAGAAGTGCTCTTGGAGTCTAGCCATGAAGACAAAGTGGATTCCTTTTCCGACATCTTATCCACAGTCATGACTGGTGCCAAAGGCTCATGTTTGTGCAAATCCACTTCTCCTTTTACAGGATCTTGCTCCACCTTATCATCAGAGTCTTGGCGATACAAATCAGACTCCTCTGAGCTTGTTTTGCTGTCATAAAGATCACCGTAGGAGAAAGTTTTGCCATGCACATATGGTGTGTCTTGTCTTGTATATGCTACCCTTTCTCTGCTCTCCTTCTCTGGAAAATCATGAAGACTAAAATGAACACTTTTCTCTGGCTCTTTCATGGTATCATCTTTTATCTCAGCTCTATCATTATTGTTTGAAAATTTGTCCTCTCTTTCATCTTCTTCTTCGTCTGAAAACATCACTTGTGGTTTTGGTTTCTCTGTTGTGCTAAAGGACACCTTTGACTTCTCTGGACTTTTAGCTTCTATCTCTACCTTTGAAGATTTTCCCTCAAACATGAAGTCATCGTCTAAAAAGCAACCCTCTTTTGCTTCCATGAGCTTAGCTTTTACAGTTGGTTGCAGTTCCTTTTTGATGTAATATTCATCCTCACTGTCTTCGTCAGATTCTTCAGACACTTCAAATGTGGTTTTGTCACCTGGAAGGCCAATAAATGAGGTGTTGTCTGAAATGGTGACAGATCTGTCAGTTTTCTGGACTTCAGCTTTCACATCACTTGCTGTTTCACCTTTTTCTTCTGTCCTAAATGTTTTTTCTTCTGTTGGAGAGTAGCTGCTACTTGTGGGCATTGACTGTGTGGGTGAGGCCAGTTTCATGGTGCTGTCCTCAGGACTCAGGCATCTCTCCTCACTTTCCTGCCTGGAGTGGGACTCTGGTAGAAAGGAGAAGGATGGAGGGGGTGAAACAGGCTTCATTTCAGCAGGAGTCTTGAATGTCTCTGCACCAAAGAGAGACTGGTTTTCCTTCGCAGTCCATGTGGGACTGACGGAAGGAGATTTTTCCTTTTCCAGCCGCATCATTGAGGCGGCATGTTCATAGCCCTCTTGAAGTTTACCCAGAGGGATATCAACATTTGGGGTCTGGTCTTCGTCCTCGTCTTCATCATCTTCTTCTTCTTCATGGACTGATTTTACGTTTGACTCAACCTCCATCTCTGGAATGTTGGGCTGATATTCATCAGAGGAAGGAGACTTAAAACATTTGTCATCTTCGAGCGAAGAGGTAGGAGAGATGGTTCCTGCAGAGTGGAGGTAGTCCTTTCCTGGGGCGGCCTCTGCACGTGACGGGGCACTGTTGATGGTGTCCAGCAGGAGAGAAGTCCTTCCAGCATCTTCGGTCTGAGGTGCCGTCACCGAGGCAATCGACTGGTCTTCAGTGGCAAAGGAAGACAGTTTGTCATACTCTGTGATGGATGTTGCAGAGGAGATATGCTCCTCCTCAGCAAGAGGAGCAGCAATGATGGCAGGGTAAGGTGCAAGCTCAGGCTCATGACCTCCCATAAAGGCTTTGGGCTTGACATCTGCAACATCTGCGATAGCACAGCCCTTCATTTCTTTAATTCCATGCATGGAGTCAAAGGTCCCAGGGATATCAGGAACAGAAATGTCGTATGAGGCCACATCATAGTGCAGCTGAGGGATCCTGTCTTCTGTGTCCTCGTGGATCTCCTCATCAGAGATTGTCTGCTCAGTCTCTGAGTACCCAGGAATGGTCTCATCTTGAATGAAGGAGAACTGCTCTGAGGCGGAGGCTGTTATCGGTGCTTCAGCTGTTGTGGATTTTTGCTCAGTTGGTTTGCTGTCCCACTTCTTTTCTGTTTTGTCTATTTTTCCCTCATCTGTTTTAAACTTTAAGACTTTGTCATCTTCTGTATCTTCTAGTTCAGCCTTTTCAATTACATCCCCTTCTTCCTCTGAGCTCTCACTTTTCTTTGTCCTGTCTGATAAACTTTCCTTCACAGAGTATTTGTCGTACTTCTCCATTTTTTCCTCATACTTTTTATCAAAGCCTTCAGTCACCTCTTTCTTTTGAGTAGCTATACCCTGTTCTGGTGCACCTTTACCTTTGGTTTCTTCCTCATGTTTGAGGGAGAATTTGGGCTCAAGGATGGTCGAGGATGTGAACTTGTCATCAGGTAGAGCTGGAGAAGAAATTTTAGTGTCTGTATGAACCGACAACCCAGTCCCCACATCACTGTGGACAGAATCAGTGTTCTGTTTGGGCACCTCTTCCTGTCTTAGAGCCTCAAAGTCCTCTGTGAGGTCTTCGGGTGAAGATACGACGGATCGCTCAGCCTGAGGTGCCGCTGCAATTTTTTCTGGAATATTCTTGGGACTTGGCTTTTTCTCATTTGCTTCTTCTTTAACAGTTTTATTTTTGTCCGTCTTGGGTTTTGATTGACTCTTGGCTTTGTGCAGGGTTTTTCTCACTTCAGGGGTGAGTGGCTTCAAGTCTGGTTTGGTGATTTTTCTCAGTTCATGTTTCACTGAGTCTTTCTTTTTGTCCTCCTTTGACTTACTCTCCTTTTTCTCTTCCTTCCGTATTGTTTCATCTTTCTTTACTTTTTCTTTCTTGGTTTCTTTTTTCTCTTTGTCTTTCTTTTCATCCATCTTAGATGCTTTCTCTTGTTTGGACGTTTTTTCCTTTGACGTCTTCTTTTTGACCGTCTTGACTGTTCCGGGGGCCACTTCGCTATTTTTCTGCTGTTTGGTGGCTTTTAAACTGTCACTTTTGACTTTTTTCTCTTCTTTCTTTTCAACTTTATTCTCCTTAGCAGTGTCACTCTTTAATTCTTCCTCCTGTCCAGTGGCTTCTTTCTTTGTTGCTTTGGAGTGAGGTTTGGGGGAAGATTTGAGGCTCTCTTTGCTGTCCGTTCTTGATCTCATTTTAGTTTGTTTAATGATTGGAGGTGGTGCACCAGATGATATGTCTTTCTGAGTAGCAACTGGGTATCGCAGGAAGTCTAGGTGTTTCAGTTTCTCAAGGCCCTCGAAGATTTTATTTTGCGGTGCATTTCCAGGAAACAGCACCCGCACTATCTTTTCTGTCGGACGGTGTGGTATCCAAACAATTAATGCAGTGACTGATGTCAAATAGGGGACAGAAATCTCTCCTTCTTTTCCATTTGACATCATAATCCCCGTCTTGGCTTTGCTATTTCCTGCCCATTTTTGCATCAGGAACTGCATCTCTTTGCTTTCCTTTACAGGATTTAGGACATACATGTCCAACTTTCCAACACCGAGTTTGTGGAACAGCGTGATGGGTTCAATGGTGTTGCTGACTACCCTGTGAAGCGGCTCAGGAGTGATGCCGAGCTTGTTGAGGTACTGCAACGTCAGCGATGCTTCTTCAATGCTTCGTTTCACTTTCAGTGTGGGCTCTGGCATCCTGAGCTTCTCCGGAACATTAAAAAACACAATCCCAAGCTCAGGGGAGATGAGGTTTTTCATCCATTCACCATTACTGCTGGAGCCAGATCCTTGGTTACGCTCTTCCTCTTGCTCTGCAATCTTTCTCTGGAACAATCCATTTATGCCGGGGAGGTTGTCTGCACCGATGTGGGTGAGCAAAACAGAGTCGATTCTGTCCAAGTGTCGAACCAGCTTCCAGAAGCAGGACTTTTTCTCAGATCCTCCATCCACCAGGATGTTAAACCCATTAATGGCAAACAGAGCTGAGTCGCCCCTGCCTCCGGGGAAGATGTAACAACATGGTTTGGACAGCTTCAGAAATCCTCCTGAGGTCGGAGGTTCCAGGAGCTCAAAGGGTGATGGTACAACTGTTTCAGAGTCGTTCTCAGTGAACTCTGTGACTCCATCCATGTCAGCGAGGAGGAGTGTGGGGTTCAGGCAAGATTTAAGAAGATTTTTGAGTGACTGCTGCTCCTGGCTTTGGCCCAGGAAACTCCAGCTCCCGTCCCTCTGAGAAGAAACAGTTAAGTGTGGCCGGCTGCTCTAACGAGGGCCTGGACAGGACTTCAGTCACCTGAAACACAGAAGAAGGGTATGCATATCAAACCTCTATTACAAGATCCTGACCGGTAGTTTTAAAGTAGCAGCATGCACAACTTACTTGAGGTTGGAAATAATACCAAAGAAGTGTTGTGAAGTGAAGGCTCCTCTTTGCAGCAGGACATCACCTCCCTGTTTAGAGCTCTGGCCTCTCAGTATCAGCAGCTTCTTAGCAGTGGAGGCAGTGATCAGAGATATAGACTGTGTAAAGAGCATAAAAAAGCACATTTAATG